TGCCATTTTCCAGTGATGTCCACGACCAGTGGGAAAAACCCACAGCTAGTGGATTTCTCTTAACTTCACGAAAAATGCTCTTTGACAATGTTTTAAGACTCTGAAGTGTTCTTTTTTATGTATCTTTTCTTCTACAGTGCAATCCAAGAGTTGATATGGTTTTATTTTTGCGCTTTTAGTGGCTTGAACTCATTTCCATCCATCCAATGCTTCATCAAATGCCTCCCATTTCCAAGTTTATAATTCTATTGAAAGTTATTCCTGTAAAACTGAGACACCCGAATAACATGTGTGAAATGAATGGAAATAGTTGGAATTAAGGGGAATTCTAACACAAATAAACTAGAAAACTCAAACAAAACTCCTTTAAAAATGATGCAAACTAGACACCTATCATTATGGGAAAGGTGTTTATTTAAATTAAACATATTAACCTCAAAATTGAACTCCATTCAACATAACTCTCACATCTTCATATTTTAGGTAACTCTTCTCCTACAAATTTCATTAATACATCTTAATTTACTACAACTTGATTTACCTTCATTCTCTAGTACATTTATACATTTTCCACATTGAATGAAATTTGATAAAGTCACATTCCTTTGCCCAAAATGTTTTTCTTTAATAAATAATAAAAGTAAAATGATATATATATATATAAATTTTTTTTATAAAACTCAAAAATAATGAAAATAATGTATCATAATAAAATCTCTTAGACATTAGAGTTGACTTTATAAAACTTCAAAATAATTCTCAAAGCAAAAGTAAAACAAATGTATGGTATCTTTACCCTGATGTCATACCTAATTAGACCATTCCATAAAACAGAGATAAAAATAAGCCTAAGCTTCATTACCCATTTCTTCTTCCTTATCCAAAATTGATTCACCTATAAAAGCATTTAGCCTAAACAAATAACACAAACAAAAATACAAAAGTGAAAAATATATCTTACATACGTTTTTGCAATGACCTTATCAATCAACTTTCAACTATAACAAGATTAACATGAGTCAATCGTAATAGTATAGTTAGTTGTGGTTGATCATTATCTTACTCATACGAGAGGTTCCCTATTTTAAAATCCTTAAGAGTAAGATAGAAGACCATAAAGACTTTCTTTCATTGATTGCATCTACATCCAATAAAATATGAATGAATGAAGTATGTACATATAAATGCATTACACACAAATATATAACCCATTTCAAATGACCATGAATATCACAATAATTCAACTTATTATAATAGGTAAGTTCTTCAAAGCAAAACCCAAATTTTCATAGCATATCATTTCATTTATATACATCATCATACATTTCAAGATATATCCTCATACATACACATACATAACGTTTATATATAGAAAATTAATATAAGTCTTTGACAATATTTTACCACTTCCTCTTCTATTTTTATTGAGTTTGTTTTAGTATAAAAATGATATTTATTGTTATATTAATCATATGATATTTATTTTATCTTATTTTAAAGTTAATTAAATTATCTACAACTTATATGTTAAGTTCAAAATCTAGTTTTATTGTTTAGTAGGTCTAAAATAAGGAAAAATATAAAACTTTTATTATAATCTTAACAACATGACCTTTAATTGTTAAAAAATATATATCTTAAAGTTATACACGTTATTTTTGCATGAAATCAATGTCATTAGTTAACTAACATCTATGGATGCAACTTTTATAAAGATCATATTTCCCAATTCGAAGCAAATCATCCCTAAATGTGTTCATAATCTTTGAACATTAAATAGGATTACAAAATCCTAAAAATAATACAAAATAAAAATTGAATTATAATTTATGATATTTAAATTTAACTTAACATATTTTCATTATTCTCATTTTGTTATCAAGAGTTAAAAGGTTCTACCAAATCCCTGATCAATTTGTATAAATAAGATCCTACACGCAATACAAATTAATTATTAATATATAATTTGTTGAATTAAGTTTAAAATCTTAAGTTGCATAAATAAAAATTATTAAGGTTTATGAGTCGCCTTTCTACCCTTCATTCTTATAAGCATCAATATATGAAACATTTTCCTCCTATCTTACTTTGAATAACAATACAAATAAATGTAACTTGTTAATCTAAGAGTTGTTCTTCATACTCTTCGTGTCTTTGTCTTCCTCAAGGTTTCTTCAAAACATTAGAAACTAAATGATGTAGAATGAAATGGAAAGGACCTAACACATACACAGTGGAATTGAACTGGTAGACGTAAAACCTAATTTACTTTTATCCTTCTTTTTATCTTTTTTATTTTTATCTTTTTATAATTAATTTTCTATTTTTATCTTTGTTTAATAACCCAACTTATTTTATCTTATTATAAAATATTTTTATTTTATTATTTAAGTTTAATTAAATCAAATAAATAACTATATCATAATTTTTTTAGCTTTGTTTGGACTGGGGTGAGAATTTAAGGAATTGTTTGGATTAAAGAAAATATAGTGGATTTAAAGGGATTTTAATAGATTTATTGTAGCTTATATGATTGAATACAAGATAATTAAATAATAATATTTTTAGTATAATAACCAAATTATCCTTGTGAGGTGGAATAGATAAATTAAGTAAAATTTAAAAGATCATGAATAAATATGTAGAAACAAATAAAGCATAAAAGGAAAGTAGTAAGTTAGGAGAAATAAGTAAGAATATTATAGATGATAAGAATGATTGGATTGTTTAAAAAAATTAGATAATTAAATAAATTATAAATGATTAAAATATTCTTATTATAAGTTTTAATAAGAACAAATATAAATATTTTTTAAAAAATAAATAAAACTATTTTTTATATCAAAATATTTTATGATATAATTTTATTAAACAAATAAAATATATTTAAATAAAATTTATTATCTAAATTGATAATGAATATTTTGTTAATCGAAAGTTAAATAAATTTTATGTATAATAAAATATAAATTAAAATAAAATTAGTTTAAATTAAATATATATATATATATATATATAAATAAATAAAAGATGAATATACAATTAAATAAAATTTTTAAATTATTTTTAATAATAAATAAGATATATTATGTATTTAAAACTTAATTATGTGTAGGTACTATGATTAATCCATTATGGTTAAATAATTAATTGATTATTCAAAAGATTTTGAAAAAATAAAATAAAAATAAAAATCATAAGGTTAAAATAATATTTTTTAATTTTGAACTGACTTTCTAATCATTTCATCTTAAGGGAGAAGAGATAAAATGAACGTGTATTTTAATAAACTTTTTGTACAAATTAGTGCAAATAAATAAAAACGAAATAAAATGAATGTGTATTTTAATAAACTTTTTTGTGCAAATTACTGCAAATAAATAAAAACGAAGGTAATAAGTCATTGTATTTTTATGATTTAACAGCAAAATCTTGGAAGCAAAGACACACGCTTAAAGTATTGATAACATTTGTTCTTGATACATAATAAAACACTTTGGTTCCTATTGAGTTAATAATTTAAGTAGCAAATGTCTCCAATACTTATCATTGATTCAAATGGATTTATATTTTAAAATTCGTTATAATTTTTTCTTAACCCAGGTTATATTAATAAGTTAATCGGTCAATTTAATTTTATTGAAAAAAAGTATTTTATATAAAATAATACTAAAAAATATTAAATTGTTATATATATATATATATTAAAAAAATTGTTATAATAATAAAATTATTTTTTATTAAAAAAATTGTTATATATATATATTATAAATTCACCTGATTTATATACGTGTAAAGATAATTTCATAATAGTAAAAAACAAAAAATTGAACACAGTAACAAAAAAAAATTGATGAGTTGCTGAACACGTTCACAAAGTGTACATACGTTAGGGTCTGAGCTGCACCAAAAATTAGTGAAAAAACGTGAGAGAAACACGAAATTACCAAACATTGAAATCAGAGAAAGGTGGTTTTCCGGAACATCGCTGCGCCTGCCTGTCACGTGCCCACTTCTTTTCCCTCCATTATCCTTCCACACTCTGATTGTTACACGTTCCCCTCTCTCTGTTCCGGCAATAATTTTTTTCGTCAAAACGGAAAAACCCTAACCCTTTAGGTAGCGCTTTTTGTTCGATCACACACTCTATTGTCTTTGTCTTCTACAATTTTTATGTTTGCAATGCAATCATCGTAGTTCGTGTTTTTCTTCCTTTGTCGCCGTTTCCTGTGCCCGTGTTGTTTCATGTTGCGATGCTATGTTTGTCAATTTGTTACTGGATCTTTTGGAGTGTTTCTTTCTTGCCTACTCGTATCACTTCTGGGAAATAATTTTCTATTTTCATTTGCCTGGGGTTCTTTCAGTATTAATTGCTATTACTATTTCAGTTTGAAGAACTAAAGTGAACTAGTTTGATTTGTTGGGGTTGCATGACCCGGTTTTATCTTTGAAGTTCACATTTTGTTATTATTACAACTGAAGCAAAACTCGGATGAGATGGTCATATTATGGGTGGAATATAGATACATTGGCATGTTATGCTAGAGATTTCAGATTGTCATGATTGGTATAGTAAATATAATTTCTCAGTGGTTTTAAGGAAAAATCGATGTTCTTAAATTTTACTTTTAGTAATCGTTACTCAATATTTTTAATTTTAGGTCCTGATGTGCATTCCATTACTATATCAAATTTTAATGAATGCAAGTATTGTAATTTGGTTTCCACGGATACTTATTCTTTCATGTTTCTTTTAAGATAAGAGTCTATCTACTATTTATGGACTATGTCGTAGTTTCAAATTTTGCTCAGGGACATGAATTCCCTTTCTACCTCAAGCTGTAGCTAAAGTTGTTTTGAATGTATGGGAAACATGATATACTTTTAGTGTTATTTGTTGAATCTGCCTGTTTTTTTTTGATACTTTTTTGTTACATTATTGTTTTGTCATCTTAACCTGATTTTTTTTTTAATAATTTACTGTGTTTATAGGGATAAATATGGGCCCTACAGAAATTGTGGATTTATCTAGCGACGAAGAAAGTGAAAAGGTTTGTCTAAAAGCTGTTAAGTTGGAGGGAGATTTTGTTATCAATGTAAAGCAATATAATGGGACTGACAAAGGTCAACTAGCCAAATATAAGAGATCTCGAAGTAATACCACTGGACAAGATTCTGAAGAAAACATAAGTTCTAATGCTCCAAGTACTGGTCATAGTAACTCCAGTGTATTGGATCAGGGACCATTGTCGGTTGATGACACGGGAATTTCTTATGTGTCACCCATTGGTGCAGCACCCCTTTGCAGGCAGTTTTGGAAAGCTGGAAACTATGATGATGGGATTGGTTCTAAAGTCACAGTCCAAAGTAATCCAATATATATTTTTGGTCAGATTGATATAGCTTTCTAAATTGGTTCCATGGCTGTAACTCCTCTACACAATGTTCTGTCAACAAGTTTATATAAATACATCTTTAATTTTTACTGATTTTTCTTCCTGCCTAACTTTCATGGGGATTATAGTTTTCAGATCTCACACAGTAGATGCTATGCTTGTACCCTGTAGGTACAAAGACTTTTGTCCTTTATAGACTTCTTATCTCTTTCATATGCTTTTCGGGTCGCAGATGCTAAAAATTATCTACATGTGCACCCCATGTTCCTTCACTCAAATGCAACTTCACATAAGTGGGCATTTGGTGGTATGTTCTTACCATCTGTATAAACTTGTGTCTTATTATGGCCATTTTCATTAACCACCTTTGTGATATTTTTTTCATGAGCTGATCTTTTTCATGTTTCTGTTTGCAGCCATAGCAGAACTTCTGGATAATGCAGTTGATGAGGTGATTGTTCTGATGTTTGAGCTATTGATTTGCATGATATTTTTAATGTTATATCAGCTGTACTTCAGCATACTAAGCTATTGTCTGTGCCTGCTGATAGTACTTTGCATGGATTATTTTAAAACATAAATGTTGTTGCCCCTATTGTTTTATGCCTTTTCCATCTTTTGAGCCATCAATACATATTTTCATTTGATTTTTGTTCGTATTTTATTTTGCATTGTTAACATTTGTTATTAGGATAGATCCAAAATGGGGCTACCTTTGTCACTGTAGATAAAATATCAAATCCAAGGGATGGGATTGCAGCATTGTTGATTCAAGGTATGCTGCTTCAGGAATTCATTAATATAGGAACATGTTTCTTCTGAATCTTTATTGTGGCTTTAAACTCGTGGCCTGAATCTTTCATATTTGCACTGGATACAATGATTCTAATTGTTTTGATGTGATGCTAACACATGCAATTAGATGATGGTGGTGGAATGGATCCGGAAGCAATGCGTCGTTGCATGAGTTTTGGATTTTCAGACAAGAAGTCACAGTTTGCTATTGGACGGTGTATGGATATTGACTTATTTTTCTGCTATCTTTTTTTTTCCTTTTTCATATTTATTTTTCAATTTGCTCTTCTAGATGGAAATGGCTTCAAGACCAGTAGTATGAGGCTTGGTGCAGATGTCATAGTCTTCAGTTGCCATCTAAATAATAGGTATGGTTTGACTAATGAACATAACATTACACTAAAGTTGGTAAAGGCAATGTGTTGCCTACTGTATTTGCAATAACCTTATTATCTTTAGGAAAGTATGTGTATTATTTGATTATTAGATTCTGAAAGTCATATCCACTCAGAAGTATTTATTCATCTATTTAGTTGTTCTTTTATAGGAAAAACTGAAAATAAATTCACCATTTTTTTGTCCTTTTCTTTTTATACCCCTGGCGAAATGTGAACATATAATAAGGTGTGTTTTAAGAAATTGAAATAATCTGCTCTCTATTGTTTGGAACCAATCCATTTATTGTACGCTTGTTAATATTAATCCATAGCCGATTCCTTTTAGCCTCTTTTGATTATTGCTGCACTTAATTTTTGGCTAGAAGACAGGCAGGTTTTTCAACAAGCCATCAATATATGAAGTTCGGGGGGCCGGGGGGAATGAATTATTAGTTTTTCTTACTGTTTCTATCTTGATCAGGATTTTGACTCAAAGTATTGGACTTCTGTCATATACGTATTTGACGCAAACACAGCTTGACAGAATAGTAGTACCCATGGTAAGTGGTATTTCTCAATTTTAACTAGTCGAAGGTTTTGGTTTAAATGCTACTTCTCCACATATATCATTTCCCAAGATAGCATGTTAACTTTTCTTCTGTATGCTGATTGGATTCTTAAAAAATTGAAATGGTTACTATATAGTGGACAACTATCAGATCTTTCATTTTACTTCTCTTTACATTGGAAGTACATATGTGTGTTTCTTTTGGGTAATTTTATTTAATTAATTTAGTATTTTTATGCTAGATATCTCCGCATATTTGCATGACACAGTGTTATGACCAAGTGGTCAAAATTTGATCCTTGCTGTTCTCATTCTTCTGAATGAAGTTAAAATTCAGCACAGAATAAGATTTTGGGTGCTGCATAGTAAATACTTCAAACCTAAGTATGTGAGCACATGCTTGTTTTGGAAAGGCGATTTTCTGAATTGGAAATGGAATTGTAAGATTCATGATTAATAAAAGACATAGCATATATATACAGTAGGAAAAATAGGGACCAGCTACACAGAAACAAGTGTCGAGCATTGCTTAGGCAAAACCAATAACCAATATACTAAAAGAGAGCAGCCAATGGGTGGGTCACTCTTTTTACCTTGCCTGCTTTGGTGTGATCTGCTTCTGCTCAGAATCACACGATCCACATTTGGATTGTTATTCATGCAAATCTTCTACCATATCATATCAAATTGTGGGAATCAGATTGTGTATCCCACTATACTAACTACACTGATTGACAATGATGATTGATGCACTGTTTGTACTATCCATCTCCTGATAAATTTTCTTTGGTAAAGGTTCTATTTGGTTCAACTTACATCACTAACTTGTCCTTTCCAATTTCAGGTGAATTATGAATTCAATACATCAACTGGATCATTGAAAGTATTAAATGGAAACGAGCACTTTGTGTCTAATTTATCCTTGCTGTTGCGTTGGTCACCATATTCATCAGAGGCAGATCTTCTGAAACAAGTCAGTTTCTACATTTTTCCCTTTCATCCTGATAATTGTCTTTGTTAAAATATAGCCTCTTGAATAGGTTGTTTGGTTTGATACTTCTTTTCTAACCTTTATCCTGCCCCTTCAATGTAGGCATTTCATAGGAATGCAATGTTTTGGCTTTAGAATGGCAAATTATAATTGTTCGATTGTTAGTTGTAACTTTATTTGTTTTGATACATTGAAGTTTGACACCAAATGGTATTTATCTGTCTGTATTGTCACGTATATATTAAGTGTGTCCTGTATCAACATGTACGAAGTTTTTTGGTCTTTATGATAACCTTCTCTGATTACACCTCGCATACATTATTGAGAGTTCTAGGACCTGTTGATTTTATGGTTAGGCATGCTTTCTTATCATTCTGCTTAGAGGTGATAGCAACTGCTGTAGTAGTCAAAGATGAGGACTAGCAAGCCTTTTTAGAGCACCCTAGGCATATGTGTTGTAACAATAAGGCCACCATCCAACTTTTCTTGGATGAAGTATCATTGATTTCTTTGTTTTGTTTTGTCTTGTTGGACTGTATTATGGACAGTGCTGATATCTCAACTGTTGTCACAACAATTTCATGGGATCCTCATCTTTAACTTTAAGGTTATGAATGATAATATTCATCCATAATCCTTCATATATGCCAGACATAGCTTGAAACTAAAATTCTAGACAGGGCTTCTCCATTGCACTAGATCCTCTCCAAGAAACAAACAATAGTTGGAAGTGGATCTCCTATGGTTCTCCATAGTTATAGCATGGACGTGTATCTCCATGGCCATTTAACTTTCTCTCTTAAACATCAGTCCTTTTCCTGCACTTGTAGGATCCTCCCAACTGCCTAAAAGTGTCTCTTGCAAGTGTCATACATAAATTGTCTAATTGCACTTACAAAATAGGTAATATTTGGTCTAGTACAAAAGTGATATATTTGCTTTCTCACCAATTTTTGGTATTGGGACTTCTCGGTAGGTGGACTTACTTTACATCCAGTTTTGTGGTGTTGCTTAATGGGTACTCTCTTGCATCCCAACTTTCTCTATAGGTGGACTTTCTCTTCATTACTGTTAAGGTTCCAACATAAAACCAATTGGCAATACGTGGAATAGCCTAACATGTATTTAAACCATACCAAATGACATGAGGTAGGCAATGTGGGACTTTCAACACACTCCCTCCAACGAAGCCTGCCGGACCAGGCAAAGGGTACTTTTGACCCAACTAAAGGGCAACTTTTGGCCCATGATAATAACCGGAAAGATGTTAGGCTTTGGCTCTGATACCATGTTAAGGTTCCAACATAAAACCAATTGGCTATATGTGGAGTAGCCTAACATGTATTTAAACCATACCAAATGATATGAGGTAGGCGATGTGGGACTTTCAACAATTACAAAATGATTTTCTAGTTTTTCTTTTAGAGTAAGTCGCCTTGTCTTATGATCATGTTGAATGATTATAACATCTACATATACTTGGATAAGAGTGAGTATACCACAAAACCTGCTCCCCTAACCTAACCATGTGTGCCCTTCCTTTCTCTTCCCCTTCCACACTGTTTTCTCTTCCCCCTTCCACATCCTTCCTTTTTCTACCTCTTTCTGCACCCTTCTCTTATCCTCTCTTCTTTTTTCAAATTCAAAGCACTTCTCCTCTCTTCTTTTCCAGATTCAAACCACGACGTAACCCACAATCCAACCTGCAATGACAAAATCTAGAACACAATTCTGCGCTTTTTCCAATATTGGATGGTGATTCCCCTGATCCTACAATGTTCCGATCACACGTGGGAATTGAAATGGTGATAGGGTGCATAATTGTGGAATCGTAAGATTCCATGATTTTCCTCTCGATTTTGACTGTAGTGGATCTCATAGTATCCTAAAGATAAACAATATCTTTAGTATCCTATCGATAAATAACTATTTGGTGATATCCAAAAGACAAGCCAAAGTGAAGAAAATTTTCTGAATGTGCATGAGTATCTTACCACTCTACAAATGATTTAATTTTATAGCAATAATGATTGCAAAGATAGGGAATAACAATTATTAGTTTCAAGAGAACTATTAAAATATCACAAGTTACTAAGTTTCATTGAACTATGCTAATCAATTGCTGAACTACTTGGAAAGGGCAACAAATATTAAATGCTTTTATTTCCCACCGATACACATCACATGATATTGGTTGCTAACTTGATGTATTAGTAGCTTATTCTGACTCGAAAGTATTTGTCTCTCATGCAGTTTGATGACATTGGATCTCATGGTACTAAAGTTATTATCTACAATTTGTGGTGCAATGATGATGGGAATTTGGAGCTAGACTTCGATACAGATTCTACGGTTGTATTTTTTATTTTATTGGTTTTCTTTTTTCTTGCTTTATTTTGTTTTGAAATATTTCTTTGTTGCTAACAAGGGGTACTTCTTATATGCAGGATATTCGTATTGCTGGGGATGTCAAGCAGATTGATACAATTAAAGCTTGGAAGAGTATAAATGAGGAACACATTGCTAATCGATTTCGTTACTCTTTACAAGTATGTATGATTTTGAAAAATATGGTGAAGTGGCAATTTAAGGCTGAATTTTTTTGAATCTAATATTCTCACATTACCCAGGTATATCTGTCTATATTGTACTTGAAGATACCGGAAAGTTTTCAAATTATATTGCGGGGGCAAGTTGTGAAGCCACACAACATTGCTGATGATCTTAAATATCCTCAATTTGTTAAATATGCACCACTAATTGGTGGATCTTCAAAGGTTATTTCCTAACTCGTTGATTTTTTTTTTTTTTTTTAAACTACATATCAATTGAGAGGTATTCAAGTATATGCATTACTTGATCGGATCTTCTTTTTTGTTTCGAATCTCAGTACAAACTCAATTTGTTATAGTTTATTAGCTAACCTAAACTTTGTTGGTTACAGTTTATCCTTACTCCATTTAGCTTCTATACTGTAATTGGTTTTCTAGCATAGGTAGCTCTTCTCTATATAATTATAAATAGCTAAATCTTACTAGCATAGGTATTTATCTTTGTATAATATAATTTTCTTTTCCTACTGAGTAAGTTCTAATATCATATACAAAACTTGAAATGATCCACATCTCTAAACCTTGACTAGATTTCTATTCCTCCACCTCTGCTCCTTTGACGTTGATGGCGGCAACTACTTTTCCTAATTGAACCTTTGAAAAGCTTGATTCGAAGAACTTTCTCCTATGATGTCAAAAATTGAACGGGGACACAATTTGCATCTTGTTCTTGTTAATCCTTAAATTCCTCATAAATTTGTGTCAATTGAAGATCAAAATGCCAATTGTGTAACTATTGAGTATCTTGCATTGTAATATGATAACATTAACTTCTCTTGTGCCTCCATTTTTCCATGACACAATAAATGCTTACTCGTGTTATGGGATGCAAGTCATTGTGGCAGTTTTCAGAAGATTCATGTATACATCCATTCACATAACAAAGTAAAAGCTTGTCATAAAGCTTTTATTTTCGATCATCACTCTAAAGAAAATTATGTTTGAACTGTGCCTTTAGATTTTCCTACTTTCCCTACCTAGCCAAACGTGCAATATCCTTGTAACAAAGGTATTACACTTCACTCTTTGTTCTTGCTGCCAATCAATATTTTCTTCCCTTGCCCAAAATTGTCAATACCTATGGCATGCTTGCTACAAACCTTGATGTTCATTCTACTGCTCACCAACTTTTAACGTAGTCTGGTCATCTTAATCAACCTTGGATGTAACTTGATTCTCTTAATCCACCTGCTCAAGAAATGCCTATACGGACGACCGAGTTCTTCTCACCATGTCACTAATGTTTTTGTTAGGGACTCCCTTATTGCCCTCGCACAATTAATCAGAAAATCTTACTACACTCACCCCACTTTGGTCCGTTCTATCTAGCCTACCAATGTCATTGACTCAAGGTAGGGCGAACTTGCTTGTGGTATTTACATGTTAAATTAAAATAAAAAGGATCATAATTTAAATCAAATACTAATCGATTAAGCTTAAATTATTGATTATAATTGAGTATTTTAATATATAATTGTTTGATTTTCTCAACTTTTCCAATAGAAAATATTAATTAATGGGTAAATCCTTAGAAAATATTCATATAATTTAGGGTATATTTTTAAAAAAATATAAAAAAATTTATATATATATATATATATATATATATATATATATATATATATATATATATATATATATATATATAAATTGGTAGGTTGATTTGCTAGCCTACCCTATGGAGGGGTGGGCTAAGGTCTGTAGCTAATATGATATAGCAGGATAGCCCATTGCCCCATTTTTGGTTGACCGGAGGTGTGGTAGACAAAACGGGGCTAGCTAACCTATTTTGTCCCCCCAAAATATTTGTGTCATTTGGTTTGCGCTTGCTGCAAATTGAATTTTAATTGCTTTGAAGCCTCATCACGGTTTCTCTAGTTAGAAACTTGGTTAAAGAAGGCGGGGATATTCCATAAACTACCTCAAATGGCATGCAATGTGCAACACCCTAAAAAGTAGTGTTATATGAATATTCAGCATAGGGAATGAATTCTGCCCAACCTATAGGTTGCTCTTAACAAAAACACCTCAGATAGGTTTCCACCTTTCTATTTAAAACCTTTGTTTGGCCATTAGATTCTGGATGGTATGCTGTACACATTTCTAAAGTTGTACCCTGTAACCCAAACAATGCCTTCCAAAAATACTCATAAACGTAAGATCATGATCACTAATGATGGAAATAGGTACCACCAAAATCTTACCATATTTGCAAAGTAAGGATGTTTGATTAAAATAAAATGTCCATACTTGGGAATCCATTCTGAATTAGCCAATAGAACCAACCTTCCTTTATAGTGTAATTGATCTTGTTCTAACATATAATCTTGATGTGAATCAGGATTAACATGTAACTCATCTATCTTAGACAAAAATGGATCTTTTCTACCTTCTTCAAACATTTGCTGAATATTTGGCCAATAAAGTCTTCAAATACCTTGCAATTTTAAATCCTCATCTCTCTTAATGCATTTGCCACTCTGTTAAAAAAGCTCCTACTTTGTAAACAATTTCAAACTCATAATGTAATAACTTGGCTAACCAACTTTACTGGTTTTGTGTTGTAACCCTTTGCTCCAACAAGTATCTAATAGTTTGGTTTGTAAAAACACTAAATTTCTCTCCCATCTATGGCCTCTAGTGTTGAGTTTTGTTAAGACGAGCCATCAATTCCTTTTCATTGAAGCCTATTGAAATAAGTAATAGGCCTTTTGTCTTGCATAAGAATTGCTCTTATTCCTTTGCTGATTTATCACACTCAATTCCAAATGGTTTGGAGATATCTCGTAAAGCTAAAATTGGGGCTATAGTACTTTTTGTCCATTTAAAATTTTCCTTTTTAAACATTTCTATTCAAGGGCAAGCCATGTGATCATACTTATTAATAAACCTAATATTATTTATTACCTGTCAACCGTAAAATTCCCCTCAAAGTTCTCAAATTCTTAGGTAAAGGCAATTATAGAACTGCTTCAATCTTTTGGGGGTCCAAAGAAACTCCCTCGTTAGATATGATATGACTTAGATATCCAAACTTTAATTTCCCAAAACTGCACTTCTTTTGATTAGCAAAGAAGGATTGATCTAATATCCTAGCCAAATTCTGTTTAACATGGTTCAGGAGCTCTTCTCATGATTTGCTATAAATTAAAATGTCAAAAAAGATAAACACATATCTTTGAAGGAAAGATTGAAGAGTTGGGTTCATAGCGCATTGAAAAGTTGTTGGAGCATTGGTTAATCCAAAAGCCATCACTAAAAAAATCATAATGCCCTTGGTGTGTTCTACTTAAGATTAATAGAGAAAAAATATATCTTCAGGGCTTATGGGACCCTTCTCCCTTCTATTTATAATGGAAATCTGATACAATGAGACATAGAAGACTAAGAGACTGCAACTAGGACTCTAGGTGCAGATCTAGATACAGATGTAGGAGGTTTCCCACACTTAACACCCTATTAGGTCTAATGATAATACTATGAAGTAATGATTCTAACACTCCCCCTTAAGCTGGAGCATACAAATTGTATGAACCAAGCTTGGAGCAAATGAACTCAATCCGAAGACCCCTTAATGACTTGGTCAACACATCTGCAAGTTGGTAATTTGACCCAACGAACTCAGTACAAATTTCCTTGGACATTAATTTTTTTCCGAACAAAATGGCAGTCGATTTCTATGTGTTTAGTCCTCTCATGAAACACCGGATTTGATGCAATGTGGAGAGCAGCTTGGTTGTCATAGTACATCTTCAAGGTTCGGATTTCATAGAAATTAAGCTCCCGAAGAAATTGCTTTACCCATATGAGTTCACAAGTGAGATACGCCATTGTTCGATATTCAGCTTCAGCGGATGATCGGGCCACGACATTTTGCTTCTTACTTTTCCATGAGATAACATTTCCTCCAAGAAAGACACAATATCTTGTAGTAGAGTGTCTGTCAATAGGGGAGCCTGCCCAATCAGCATCACAATATCCGGAGACTTGAACATTCCCTTTATTTTTATATAGTAAACCCTGTCCAGGAGCCTTCTTGAGGTACCTTAAAATACGGATGATGGCATTCCAATGTTCAAGATATGGAGTCTGCATAAACTGACTAACTACTCCAACTGTAAAAGATAGACCAGGTCTCGTAATAGTAAGATAAATTAGCTTTCCAACAAGCCTCCTATATCTCTCTGGATCAGAGAATAATTCACCTTCTTCTGTCGTTAGGTTCTGATTTGGGTCCATAGGACTGTCTACTGATCTACAGTCAATCATGCCTGTTTCTTGTAATATATCAAGAGCATACTTCCTTTGAGAGATTACAACTCTATCTTTTGACTGAGCTACTTCAATGCCCAAGAAGTATTTGAGGCTTCCAAGATCCTAGGTTTGAAAATGTCTACACAAGTACTCCTTTAGTTGAGATATTCCAGTAGTGTCATTTCCTGTAATGACTATATCATCACCATATACTATAGGTAAACACATTTCTCGAGAGATGTATGACAGTAAAAGACAGAATGGTCTCCTTCATTACGTCTTAGCCCAAATTTTTGAACAATGGAGGTGAATTTTTCAAACCAAGCACGTGGTAATTGCTTGAGGTCCTATAGAGAACGATGCAATTTGCATACCATACCAGACTCCCCCTGAGCAACGAACCCAGGAGGTTGCTCCATGCAAATCTCTTCCTCAAGATCACTATGGAGGAAGGCATTTTTGATATCCAATTGATGAAGTGGCCAGTGAGGAATGACTGCCATGGCAAAAAAGAGACGAATAGACAGTCATCTTGGCCATAGGAGAGAAAGTGTCACAATAATCAAGATCATAAACCTGAGTGTATCCTTTTTTGTAACCAATCGAGCTTTGAGTCGATCAACTTGACCATCAGGGCTAACTTTAACTGCATACATCCATCAGCAACTAACAACCTTCTTACCCAGTTGGAGGGGCACGAGCTTCCAAGTATGACTGTGTTCAAGAGTTAACATCTCTGCAATCATGGCTTGTTGCCATCCAGGATGATCAAGTGTTTCATTCACATTTTTTGGAATAACAACAGAAGATACTGAAGATAAAAGGGAACAATAGGAAGGCGATAATCTGTGATAACTAAGAAAATTATAAATGGGATGTGGGTTTCGAGTGGAACGAGTACCTTTTCTGAG